CCTGTTGATCAGAGAACCCATTCCTCCTTGTCTTAGGACTGTCTTGGGCCATAATTTTCACAGTCTTCCTCAGAACACCAAGTCTTTAAGAGGTCAAGCTGTTGGGGCAGGTAGGTGGAATGGTGAGTAAGAGGTCAACGTGTCTTATTTGAAAAGAGTGGCTCCATGGCCAGACTGAGATGCGGAATGGACAATAAAGTATCTTTTCTACAGGATTTTGAGAGCCTCATCACCACCGAAATGAACGGGACGGCTCTAGGTGGGAGGACAGTGCACGGCACCCTCGACACCTGTGTAGCCACATGACCTTGGTTTACAGAGCACACCAACAGAGTCATGTTCTAGGAGCCCTTTCTGAGCAATGTATTTCCGGGAAATGTAAACAATACATCATTTGTAATTGGCATTGGCATTGGTATGCCAACTCATTACGGGCCCTAAGATGAACCTATCCAACTCTGTGTGTAAGAGCTTCAGAAAAAGTGGGAAGAACTAGTTATGTAGCAAATAAATGATCTGACAGTCACAACTTTTTAAAGATTTTATTTAGGTACTTCATAAGAGAGAGGGAAAAAAGAGACAGGCACCCTCATCGGTGTCTCATACTACAACCCTTCCCCAAGCCTTTCCAGCCAGTGAGAATTAGGTGGACATGTGCATGCGTGCTCTCTCTCTCTCTCTCTCTCTCTCTCTCTCCCCCAGCATTTACAGTTTGACCTGGGAGTCAAACCTTGGTCTTCCATATTGCCCTGGCAGAGGGAGTGGTATGCTATCACTGTGCCAATGCAATGGGCCAGATAACCAAAACTGTAGACTGCAGTACTAAATGAGGGTTTTCTTGGTAGTAAGCTGATTAGACTCTGAAGCCCAGGTAATAATTACATCCTAAAATGGTAGTGCTTGGTCTGATATGAAAGGATATCAGACCATGGGTCCTTCGGGGAAGCACAGGTCCAGAGAGAGGCCCGTGGGAAAGCCTGCTTGTGGTCACTGAGGCGCAGCTGCCCAGAGTTGGGACAAAAATGGTCTGTCAGTAACAGCAGGTCTCCACGCGTCCACCCAGGCAGCACACAGGAAAGCACACTGATGCGATGTCACCGCCTCTGAGTGTTTATGTCTAGAAAAGAGGGCCCTCTCCAAACGGATGGCACAGAAGCACTGAAGGGCTTCATGAGTTCTACGGTCCCTTCCATGAACCTGGGAAGTGGAGGGAGGACCATAGCACGAACCCAGTGTTTCCCCACCAGGGATAAAAACATCCAGAGGAATGCTTCCAGAGCACAGCCATAATCTAGACACAGGGAGACAGCAAAATACTCAGGAGATTTTTTTTAAGTGATAAAAATAGCTGGTTTGGAGTGCATTCACCTGTCAAGTCACCTATTCAGAAAACACTAAGACCAGGAAGAATATCTAAGTAACACTAATGGTCCATCGATTAACAGCTTTGCTGCTAGAAGTAGATATTAACGTCAAACGTAACAAAAACACAATAAAGCAAACAGGTATAGGAGAATGGACCCCAGCCTGAATTTAGCTCGAAGAGCTTCCTGGCCTATACTAAAAGGAAAATAGGGGAAATGTATAAAATACATACCATTACTGTAGCCACATTATTTGGAAAAGCCTTTGCGAGGATAGAGGATGACGCCGTTATTGCTGCACTAAAGCTCATTGCATCCATCATTCTCACTAGAAAACACATAGCAATAAATACTGGTCCTGCTGGAACTTGGTCCAGTACACTAAAAGAAAATAAGACAATTCTCAAATGCTAGACTGGTTTTCTTTTCTTTTCTTCTTTTTTCTTTTTTAACTTTTAACTATTCACTGAAAAGAAGAGTATTCATTAGAATAAGTTGGGAGCCAGCCCCCGGTGGCGTGCCGGTGGTGTAGTGATAAACATAGTCAAATCCTACATGGCCAACTGTGTGGTTTGAGTTTCGGACCTAAAGGCTTGAGGAGCATGCGGGGCACGAGCGCATGCATGCCTGATACGCCGAGAGGACAAGAGAAAGAGAGGACTTGACCATGGCCACTCTGAAGGGGGTGCTTTCTCAACACCTCCTCTTGTGAGAGCGCATGCCCTATAGCAAACAAACAAACAAACGAGAAGAATAAATTAAAATATCTTTAGAATATTAATTTTATATCAAGTTGCTTTGTTATACTTTTGTGTAACTGCCAGGAGGCATGTATGTTTGACTGACGTAGAGACAGAGAGAGGAAGAAAGCACCCGCCCATGGGGCACGGTCATGTCACCATTCCTTTTCTATTTCTCTATCCTATAGGGAGTCTTAGAATGCCCGTGCACACCCCTGGGATGTTTTCCAAGCCACAGGGACTGGGGTTTTAACTGCCGTTGGCTATGTGAAATCTGGCTCCCTTAACACTAGGCTACAGGGTTAGTCTGGTTTGTTATACTTTGATAGAAAGAAATAACCTTTTTTCTTGAGGGGTAGGCTAATAATTTGAGTTATAAAGATAGCTTAGTTGCCCTTTTCCATGACATAATTGGTCTTCTAAATGATAGCACTAAATAGGTTTTTTTGAAATATTACATTGCTTTAACAAGACCAATATAAGAAGAAAGAATTTAGTTTCAGGTCTTTCCCAGGGTAAGACTCATATCTAAAAAAAAAAAAAAAAAAAAAAAGCTGAAAATAGGAGACATTCCCTGCTCCTCCCCCACATCAAAAAAGAAAGAAAAAAAAAAGTTCTCCATTTAATGGTTTTCCTGAATTCACCTCATTATAATCATGCCATACTCTACCATTCCTCTATTTTCCAAGTTGACTTGTGTAATACTGGGTTGTTGGAAAAGTCATGATGCATTTTTGCATAGAAAAATACTTTCCCGACGACCCAGTGATATGGAAGAACCATGTCGTTTGCCACTGTGCTGCTGGCTTAAGGACTCGAAGGACTCTCCATGCTTAGGACCTTACATAGTTCTTCGTCTCCGGCACTCACTGTCCCTTCTGAAGACAGTGATCAGGGCATCATCCTGTCCCCTGCTCTGAAGTAGTATGTGACCTGGCCAGGCCAATCAGAACTTCTTTACTCCCGGCCACAGTGACTGTGGTACAGGAATGGGCATCAACAAAAATCAGGTCATTCTGTGACTCCAACAGGAGTTATTAGGACATGGTGCTCTCTTCATACTGGAGCCATCTTGTCATTAAAAGGGAAGAGCTCTGGGACCAGCAGTTAGTGTAATGGCTATGTCGCTGGACTCCCACGTAGTTGACCGTGGTTCAAGTCCCAGATCCAGTGGCTTAAATTCACGCTGGGCACGTATATGTGCGTGCCCAAGATCCTGAGAGGAGAATGGAGGAGAGAGGATTGCGGCGTGGCCATCCCCCCTGGGGGGGGTGATTTCTCGCTCTCTGTCTCTCTGTCTCTCTCTGTCTGTCTGGCGAGCGCACGTGCCCTATAGCAAAAACCTCTCCTATAGCAAAAAAAAAAAAAAGGGAAGAGCTCTCCCAGGACAAAGCACAAAAAGAGTAAAGTGCAAAACCAGTATGCCAAAAAGATTTCGGATGATACTGACATGGGTATCCTGATTTTTTTTCTTTTTTTAATATGAGAGAGAAAGTGCATGAGAAGGTATTTTTGACAGGGCCTTGCCCCATGTCATGATTCTCCTGCCTCAACCTCCCAGCTAGCTAGGACCACAGACACACCACCATGCCCAGCCTGTATAGGTTGGACTGAGAACCAAACTCAGGCCCCATGTGGCCTCAGCCACGGCCCAGCAGCACCCTTCTGCTTGCACCACTAGGGCTAGGCCTGTAACCTTAGGTCTTTGAGCTCATTCTCTAGGAAGGAAATGTATCTTTTTCATCTAAACAGAAAGCTTCTATGACTCAGAAAATTGAGTTAAGCTGCTTTCACTCTCCTAATGAACAGATCCCATAGCCAGCTTAAGGGTGACACCCAGGAGAACTCTCTTCTCAAGATTAATGCCATTAATCCCTTTTCCCTACTCACCCACTCTTTCTTGCACACCACATGGTATGCATTCAACAGATAAGCAATGGTGCTGATTAATTTAAAAATCCATTAACATATTAAACTAAAGATAGATTATAAAATTCGTCAAAGCTCCCAAACATATCAGAAAATGACTTACCCAAAGAGAATTGTAACTCCTCCCG